TTCTTTCTTTCTTTCTTTCTTTCTTCTTTCTTCCTTTTTTTCCTGCTTGCTTTGGTACTGGGGTGAACCCAAGGCTTTTACACTGAGCTACAGCCCCAGTCCTTTTTAATTTTTTTAATTTTCAGATTAAATTGCCTGCACTGGGATTGAATTTGTCATTCTGTGGCCTCAGCCTCTAAGAATGCTGGGATTATAGACGTGTGCCACCTTGGCCCCAGTGTTTTATATTTCTTATTTTGATACAGGACCAGGCTAGCCTCAAACTTGCGATCCTCCTGCGTCAGCTGCTGGAGTAGCTGGGCTTACAGGTGTGCACCACTGTGTCCAGCTGGATTTTACCAATATTAAAAATGTATCTCAAAGGATATTCATCAACACTATATATTTTTACTCTAAAGGACGCCATCGAGAAAATGAAGAAGCAGGACATAGCGGCACAGGCCTGTAATATCAGCTACTCTGGAGGCTAGGGCAGGAAGATTGAAAATTTGAGTCCAACCTGGACAATTTAGCAATTTAGTGAGACCCTGTTTCTAAATAAAAACAGAAAAGTCTGGAGTTGTATGTCAGGACAAAGGCACTGGGTTCAATATCCAATGGCAAAACAAAACAAAACAAGGCCAGGTGTGATGGCATGTGCCTATAAACTCAGCTGCTTGGGAGGCTGCGACAGGAGAATTTTGAATTTGAGAACAGCCTGGGCAACATAACAAGACCCCAATCTCAAAAGAAAAGAAATAGCAGTGAAAGACAGAGCTGGGGGTGTAGCTCAGTGACAGGGCAAATGTCTAGCATGCATGAGACCCTGGGTTAGAACCCCAGTACAGCAAGAAAAAGAAAGAAAGAAAGAAAGAAAGACTCTTGGAATAGGAGAAACTATTTGTAAATCATATTAGTGATAAAGGACTTTTATATATAGTATGTAAAGAATTCTTACTATTCAGGGCTGGGGATTTAGCTCAGTGGTTTCACCGCGTGCTGCGCAAGCACAAAGACCCAAGTTCAATCCCTGGTACCAAAAAAAAAAAAAGAATTCTTACTATTCAACAATAAAAAGACAATGCAATTTTATTTTTTTATTATTATTTTTTGGTACTGGGGATCAAACTCGGGACCTTGCACTTGTGAGGCAGGCAGCAGAACCACTGAGCTAAATCCCCGGCCCCAGTACAATCTAATTTTTAAAAGGACAAAGAATTTGGACATCTATTTCTTCAAAGTAGATATACAAAGCAGCATTGAGTACATGAAAAGACGGTCAATTTCCAGGTATGCTGGCACACGTCTATAATCTCAGGGCTCTGGAAGGCTGAGGCAGGAGGATCACAAATCTGAGCCTAGCCTGGGCAACTTAGTGACTTAGCAAGTCACCAAATAAAAAAGGTTGAAGATGTAGCTCAGTGTGACAGCCCTGGGTTGAATCCCCAGTACCGAAAGGGGAAAGAAAAGCAAGAAAAGAGAAGATGATTAACTTTACGGGTCATTAAGGAAATCCAAATCCAAATCACAGTCACACATCACTTCACACACTAAGGATGGATAAAGTCAGAAAGAGAGACTATTACTACCTATTAGCAAGGATGCAGAGGAATTGGAACCCTCATAGATTGCTGGTGGGAATGTAAAATGATTGAGCCACTTTAGAAAGCAGTTTGGTAGTTCTTCAAATTCTTAAATGTTATTATATGACCCCACAATTCCACTCTTAGTTATTTTAACTCCATGGTTATTATATGACCCAGCAATTGTACTCCTACTCAAGAAAGCAAAACTTGTACTCAACAAAAACATATATGTGAATTTTCATAGAAGCATTACTCTTTTGGTTTTTGTTTTCTTGAGATGGAGTCTTGCTATGTAGCTCAGGATGGCCTCAACCTCATGATTCTCTTGCCTCTGCTTCCCAAGTAGCTGGGACTACAGATGTTCACCATCACACCTGGCACAGCATTACTCTGTATACACCAGTGTTTATACACCAATGTCCATCATCTAATGAATAAATAATGAAATATGGTATATATTGGAACAGAATATTATTCAGCAATAAATGGAATAACAGAGGCTACCACACCAATTAGCTTTGGAAAACATGCTAAGTGAAAAAAGGTATTCACAAAAGATTAAATAATTTCATTTATAGGAAATGTATAAAAGAAGGCAAATCTAAAGTGTAATCTCAAGACTCTGGGAGACTGAGGCAGGAGGATCTTAAATTTGAGCCCAGCCTGGACAACTTAGCGATTTAGTGAGACACTGTCTCAAAATTAAAAATATGAAAAAGGCTGGGGATGTAACTTATCAGGAAGGCCCTGAGTTCAATCCTCAGTAACACATGCACAAAAGTAATTTTAATTTTGCTTAGTCAAAGGGTTCTTTTGAGATCGAGAAATAGCCCTAAAATTGTCACAGTTACACAAGACTGTGAATGTCCCCATAACCATTGCATGTATGGTTTTTGTTGGGTGAATTCTATGGAATGCAACTTATATTTTAATATTTACAAACATATTGAGGCCATACTCTTAAGTGAAATAAAAGAACACACATGTGTAAATACTAATAGTTTCTCTAGTGCGAGAAACTGAAAGTGTAAATAAGGATTAAAATGATCAAAATGAATAATTGATAATTTGAAGTAGGCAAAGGTCCAAAGGTGTAGGGGTGGAGGGAGGGGAAGGGGAAAGGAAAGAAGGGAAAGGAAAAATTGTGAGAAAAGAAAAAAAATGGAAACGAAATCTATGTAAATAGGGAAGGGTGGAGGGGTGAAGGATGAATAGGTAATGGGGAAAAAAATAAGAACCAAGATACATCATGTACAGGTACAAGCACCCAATGATAAACGTAAACGTATTGTATACCTAAAATGTACCAATGAAAGAATTTTAAAAATATATTTACAAACAAAAGAGAATATCATGATACTACCTGTACTATTGGGAACATAAAAAATGTTGAGTGTCTATCTTGAGGCACCTAGAACGGTAATACGTAACAAATATGAGCTAGTACTGTGTTTTTATTGCTCAGTATTAAAATTTAACTTAAAACTAATTGACTCTAAAAGGTATGATACTGGGCTGGGGATTAGTTCTGGGCGGAATGTTTGCCTAGCAGATGAGAAGCCTTGGTTTAGGAGCCACAGCACCCCAAGAACAAAAAAAACAAGAAAAACAGGGCCTGGGATTTAGCTCAGTGGTGCCTCCGCCTGCCTTGCAAGTGAAAGGTCTTGAGTTCAATCCCCAGTACCAAAAAAAAAAAAAAGAAAAGAAAGAAAGAAAACAAAGTGAGGAGCAAAACAAGAAAAACAAAAAAGGTATGATACTGACAAGTAAATGTATTACTGGTATAGACGGTCTAGAAACAGATACAAGTACATATATAAATTCATTGTTTAATCAACGTGTAATTTGAAATCTGTAAGTATATACAAAAATTCATTGTTTAATCAACACAGAATTTCAAACCCTCAGGTCAAAGGTAGTTTACAAATAAGCAACAATCGGTCATCTTTCTGGAGGAAAATAAAAATTGGATCCACTAACCCATACCACCTGCCAACACACAGGTAATTTAAATGTTTTTAAGGGTAGTGTGGGCCTGGAAGTGTAGGTCAGTGGTAAAGCGCTCCCTCAGCATTCTCAAGGTAAAATAAAATGGAGTTGGGGGGGGCGATCTAGGAAATCTGTGTATAATCTAAAGTTTAAGGAGGCTTTTCTTTTTCTCTTTTTGGCGGTTCAAGAGGATGGAGACTCCACCCCCATCCAGCCCTAGGCGCTCTCTAGGCCAGCGCTCTACCGCTAAGCTATATCCTTAACCCCCACCCCTTTAAAAAAAAATCTTACTTTGAGACAGGTTCTGGACAAGTTGCCCAGGTTGACCTGGAACAGAATTCCAGGAGAAAAGAAACTGTAGGACCATTGCTGTACAATCGAAGAATGTTATCATGGCTGATTTGCAACGCAGGAGGGGAGGGTTTGGTCCGTACGGTTAAGTTCCAAGCAACGAAAACTAGGCATCCGATAAATGATCCCATATGCGTTTCTTTTTATTTTTTAGCAACACAAAGAAATTTATTCAAGTAATACATGGATGGGGTTCGAAATTCCCAGTGGTTTACCACTCCCCTTTCCTAGCTGTCTTTTTCCTCACCCCTTTCACCCTTCCCATTTCTTCCTCTTCTATTCATAATATTCACACACACACACTCACACACACACACACACACAAAGAACGACTGCAAGAGAGGAAGAGAAGGCGGGGAGAAGACTGCAGATCCTTTTGTGTAGTCTCACTCTTTCCCCTCTTTCTTTCACCCTCCCACTCTCCTGGCTCCTGCTCTCTCTCTTACCGTTCTCTTTCTTCATGACCCCATTTTCCTCTTCCTCACTGTATATATTTCAAGATCCTCTGAGTAAAACTGTGTCTTTATAAAATGAAAAATATTTATGTTTATCTATGGACAGAACATTTCTAGACTAGAACTCCTTGGGAAAAGGATTGGAGAGAAGGTGACTTTTCCATGTACATTCACTTCTACTGTGTGAAATTTTTTTGTTACTATCCTTCGAATAAAAAGAACACATATTGCTGACAAAAATAAAGAAAACTACACATTCCAAGAGGAAAGAAATCAGGGATTTACAAAAAACATCTTTTGTGTTGCAAACACAAAAGAACGACGATGAGAATCTCAGCATGGTATCTGTAGACATAAAGAAGAAAGGCTGAAAGAACAGAAATGGTGGCATGGGAGAGACAGAGCATTTCATGGATTGGCAGATTTATGAGCATGGCAAATCATTACAGGGCCCTCGGAACGCGGGGAGAGGCAGGCATAAAGGCTTTCGCGAGCCTTCTAGGCGCGCCTCCTCACCCTCATTCTTGCCTTTCTGGTTTCTCCAGCCACACCGCGTGGGGGCGTGGTTTCACTCCAACCCCGCCCCCGGCTCTGGGCTCCGCCCCCAGCTCTGGGTTCCGCCCCCCTGCCCGGCCCTTACCCTCGCTTGGAGAAGCGGTTCTAAGCTCAGCCTCCGCCGCAGGGCTTCTTTCTACCTCTGCTCCCCTGGAGGGGCCCATCATGCTGTCCACCGGCACCCACGAGGGACAGAACTGGAACTGCCCTTCACAGAGGGGTCCAACGTGGCTGATGCCCCAGCGGAAGCGGAAGTAACGTCAGCGGTCTCCCCACTTCTCTTCGGGCTCTGCTCGCCCCAGACCTCTCCGAAGTGGTCGGTTTCACCCCGGCTTCGGTGAGGCGGGGTGAAGGGGATGTACCGGGGGTAGAAGAGGGTGGGGAAAGGGCGAGTTGGGCCCCAGCCCCCACAGACCTCTGCCGAGAGGCCTGGCGCGCCCCTCTCGGGGCCGCGGGATCCCCCGCGTGTCCGTGTCCAAGAGTCCACTCGGGCCAGGCGTCCTCTGCAGGTGCCAGGTCGAGAAGGGTCGCCTACGCTCGGCCCCGAGGTTTGCACGCACGGTGCACACCCCTCTTCAAAAGCCTCCGCAGTAACCTTGCTGCATTTTTATCCCAGCCTCTGGGATCACGCTGATTTAGACACTGCGTCCTCCAGCTTCAGGGACCCGACGGTTTCCGCGCGTCCAGGTGACCACTGGGTGAAAGGTGGGTCGGAGTGCCTCCTTTTTTTTTTTAATGCCAATGAATTTTCATCCTAGAATTGCGCTTTCTTTGTTCGTCGCGTATTTATTGGTGACACATGGTATTCTGGCAGAAAGATAAAGATGCAAAGATCCTTCCCCAGATGCTGGGGCTGCATTTCATCCAGAGTGCTTGCAAGATTCCTAGGTGTCTTCCGGGTGCTTGTATCTGTATATAATCCAAAATGGGTCGAGAGAGGGAGAGAGACGGGGGGAGGAGACTCTGCAAAGTATGCAAAGCAAGCAAGCGCTCCATCACTAAACTACACCCCGAGCCCCAACACTGAGTTTTTTAAATTAAGAATTAAAACGTATTAAGAATTAAAACCATGGCCTCCTCACCGAGCTACATCCCCACCCCCACCCCCCTCTTTTTTTTGAGACAAAGTCTGGCTAAATCCCTAAGTTGCCCGGGCTGGCCTCCAACTTCCATCTTCCTGCCTCAGCCTTTCAGAGTGCTGGGATTACTGGCGTTTGCCACGCCCAGCTAAAGCGGAGGTATTATTTGAAGCGGGTCGGTCTGTAACCACTACCCCCACCATGGGCTTTTAAAACAGCCCTCCGGGAGTTAAGCTTGGAGGCTTTGTTAGGCTACTACTACGCTTAGCCGAATTAACCATCCCCCCCCCCCCCGCAAAAAAGAGTTTTGTTATGTTCGCCATGTAGTAACTCCCCACGATGAATGTAATCATTATGCACTGCAAACAAGTACTCGTAAAATTTTTAAAATTTAAATAAAATGCATTTTATGGTGAACTATTTGAGAGTAAGTTGAACATTGGAGGCATACTTAACTTTTTTTTGGTACCGGGGATCAAACTCGGGTCCTTGGGCTTGCGCGGCAAGCGGCGAAACCACTGAGCTAAACCCCCGGCCCCTACTTAGCTTTTACGTAATTGATAACACATCACTGGAAGATGGGGATATTGGCCCACTAAAAGCACAATACTGTTTCAACCAAGAAAATAATATTTGGGCTGGGAATGTAGCTCGGTGGTAGAGTGCTTGCTTAACATACTTCAGGTCCTGAGTTCAATCCCCTGTACCACCAAAACACAGCAAAACTATGTAATACGTACTTTGTATAAAATAAAAAATTTCCACATTGTTCCAAAGTAGGCTTTTGAGTGTTTTTGGATCTAAGATCCCTTCAAGTTTCTTTACTTTCTTTTCTTTTTTCTTTGAGACTTTTTTTTTTTTTTTTTTGAGACTACCTTTAGAGGTTTCAATTTTAACAAACTGCCAGCTGTGGCACTAATGCCATAGGTTCGCTACCGTGATGTAAACCTTGCCGGGCTTTAACTCTTGATCCTCCTGCCTCAGCTTCCTGCGTGCTGCGATCACTTCAAGCCTGGCTTATTGCAAGGTTCTCAAATTGAAAATTTTTAATGTCCCTTAGCATCTTTGAACCCAGAGCAGCCACCATTGTTTCTCTGTTGTACTGACTTTTTGAAAAGTCATACTTCTTTTATGAAGTCACACATTTTGATATTTCCGTTTGTATTTTCATGATGTGTTTATCCATCATTTCTTTTTTTCTTTTTTTGGTACGGGGAATGAACTCTCCATCATTTGTATTTCTTATGCAGTGATGAATAACCATGGCTGATTAAGCACAGTGAAAAAATTCAATTTAGGGCTATTCTTGGAGAACTTGTAAATTGTTGAAGAAGGTAAGCATGTGGTTAATAGCAAATAATAACTATTATAACAAATTGATCAGGCTTTTAGAAGTAAAATATTACATACCCTGTTGGTATATGGGAGTCAGTGAATGTAAGAAAAGTGAATTTTATTTAAGCTGAAACCAGAAGACAGAACATAGGAATTAGCCATGTTGAAAGAAAAGAGAATGGGAGGTAAGGAAAGCTTCCATGTATATTGGCTACCTATATTACATTTCTACAATGAGAGGGGAAGGCGTCAATATTAACCTTAGGTTTGACAGCACAGTGTTTTTCTTTGGGAGAATAAATCTGATCTTTAGTATATAACTGACAGGAGAATGAGTGACAGCTGGTCAAGTGATGCAAACCAAGGGAAAGTAAGGGAAAGTAAGCCAGGCACCGGGGCTTGTATCTGTAATCCAAGCACTCTGGGAGGCTGAGGCAGGAGGGGTGTAAATTCGAGCCTAGCTGAGGCACCAGTGATTTAGGGAGACTCTGTCTCAAAAGAAAAAAAGCGCTGGGGATGTAGCTTAGTGTGAAGGACCTAGACTTAATCTCTAGTAACTGTTCTTTTCCCTTGCCAAAAAAAGATAGTATGAATATATTTTTTAATTTTCATGAATAGGAAGTTAATTTAAGGAATTAATGAGAATCAATAGTTGAACATTGAAAAAGAAATTCTTTGTGAAAATTCATTTATATTATCTATCTTAGGTAATGTTTATGTTCATAAACAGACTTACAGTCTCTTTGAGTGGTTTTCAGGCCACCTCGGGGTTCTTTCTGTCCAAACTAGGACTCCATTTCCCTGAGGGAATGTTCCAGTTCTAGTTCCAGGAGTAACCAGTCCTGTGTGGCTCCTTATAGACACTATCATTTCTAGGGGTTTGTTTGTTTGGTACTGGGGATCGAACTCGGGTCCTTCCGCTTACCAGGCAGGTGCTAGAACCACTGAGCTAAATCCCTGGCCCATTTCTAGGGGTTTGGAATTACTCCATAGGTAAATGACCAGGACACTCCACTCCCAGTGTACTCTGGCAAAGAGCTTTGAAGGGACCCTTTGGCTTGACAATACCCCTACCACCTTCTGTATTCACCTCTTAGGGGTCCCAATAAGCTACCTGGACTTACAGAAAAAAATGATGAGAGGTTTCTGAAGGTAAAGTTCGTGAGGATCCTGAAGATACAGCTGGTAAGGATTCACACATACTGCTGGCAGCAGAGTTTACTGGAGCAAGAATTTGAGCTGTTGGCCATAGCTATTAAATTTGTGCACATGCATGCTCTATAATATTACACCACTGGGTGCAGTGTGCGTTAATATAAAGATAAAGGTGTTGAGCCAGGTGTGATGGCACATTCCTGTAATCCCAGCACTTGGGAGGCCAGCCTGGGCTACACACTGAGTTCAAGGTCAGCCTGAACTGCATAGCAAGACCCTGTCTCAAAAAAACCAAAACCAAACAAAAAAGTAAAGGTGATAAAACACCTTTACTTTTTTGTTATGTGAATCAACAATATTTATGTTATTGGAATACTCTATAGCAGTGGTGGCAAACCCATGGCATGCATGCCTCAGCAGGCTGTTTGTATCATTGCAAGCTCTAAAAAGGTTTGCTAAAAAAATAAAATAAATAAATAAATAAAAAGGTTTGCTATCACTGCTCTATAGCAAATAGAAGGAACACATTCATAGTAGATGTATGGACGAACTTTGCTAATATGTTTTGGTTGCCTTGCTGGGGATGGAATGCAGGGCCTTGTACTTTCTGGGCCAGCATTCTATCCCCTGGGATGTAGCTGACATAAGTTTGAATGAAAAGTGCTAGATACAAAAGAATACTTACCCCAACCAAGGGAGGGATTCAGACTTGATTAGAAAACAGATGTATGTATCTAGTGGTGCCTAACACATTTTACCAAATTTCGCAGTTTAAAATAACACAGGTTTATCTCATATTTACTTTGGGGTCATGAGACCAGTCATGGATCATGTAGTTTTTCTGCTCAGGATCACCTGAGTGCAGCCAGGGTTTTGGTAGGGTTCATTCCCATCTGGCTTACCTAGGGAAGAGTCTTGTCTCCACACTCAGTCAGGTCATTGGCAGAATTCATTTCTTTGCCTTTATTGGACTTTTCACTCATCAGCAGAGGCTGCCTCAGCTCTTAGAGGCTCCCTGTAATTTTTGCCACTTGGTCCCTTCCTTCAGTAAGTCAGCTACCAGAATATCTGTACTACAGAGAAGGTGTAAACCCCTCTTTAAAAACTTTGAGTATGCTGTGGAGGTGCATACCTATAATCCCAGCTACTTGGCAGGAAGATCACAAGTTCAGGCCCAGCCTCAGCAAATTAGTGACATATAAATTAAGATGGGATATGTGTGTGTGTGTGTGTGTGTGTGTAAATTAAGTGAGATATAAATTAGTGAGAAATAAAAAGGCCAGGGATGCAGTTCAAAGGCCCTGTGTTCAATCCCAAGTACTGAAAAAACAAAACAAACAAACCCCAAACCAAGAAAAACAAAACTTACTGGCTGGGACATAGCTCAGTGGTAGAGTGCCTACCATGTATAAGCCCCTGGGTTCAATCCCCAGTACGGCCAAACAAACAAACAAACAAGTAAACAAACTAAACTTTCCACCTGATTAAGTTGATAAACTCAAAACCAACTTACTTGGAGTCTTGAATATATCTGCAGAATCCTTCATATTTGCCATATTCTCTTGGCTGGAAAAAAAAATCATAAGCCTTGGATACCCTCAGAGAGAGGGAATTACCCAAGATCATGTGAATACCAGAAAGCAGAGATCCTGGAGGTCCGCTTAGGATGTATTGGCCATAGTACAGGTGTAGTTGATGAGAGGTAGAGAAACTTCCTGGTTTCCTCTGAGCCTGAATGAGGCTACAGTGACCAGATGAGCATGAACAAAACTCCATGGCATGGGTTACCTAGAATGAGGCCAGTGTGCATAGGAATTGGACAGCACTCCAGGCCCGAGGTGTGGGGAGCAGGGGTACAGGACCTAGCCTTACTGTGGGGAGATGGTAGAGCATGAGTTGGGTCTAACACAACTTTTGTCCTAGAATGCACCATGATTGGGTAATGAGGGACATAGGAAGGAGGAGAGGGAAACGGAAGTAAAAAGAACTAAGAGGTGTTATTCCCATGTACCAACTCCCTTCGATGAAGGTAATCATTATGTATTGGAAACATGCACTTATAAAAATAAAAATTAAAAAATATGGCCAGGGATTTAGCTCAGTAGTGCCTCTGCCTGCCTTGCAAGCACAAGGTCC